CATTTATTCCTAATACTGCTACTTCAAAACGAGATCAATCTTTTACAAGTATTTCTTCACCACGAAATCCAGAAAATTATAACGCATCTACGTTAGTATCGGTTAACACACATGAATTTGAACCTGATAAATTACGCGTTGCTAAATTGTCGGTTCATGGAATGACATGCGCATCTTGCGTACATAGCATAGAAACGGCCTTAAAAAGCGTGCCAGGAATAATCTCTGTTAAAATCTCTTTACTGGTAGAAAGAGCTACCGTGGAATATTATCCCGATGTAGTTGATGAACAAACAATAACTAATAAGATAAACGATCTTGGATTTGAAGCCGCTCCAATTCCGGTTCAACGTGAAGATACAGTAGAATTACGCATTTATGATATGAAGATACCATCAGATGCTTTTTCGATTGAACGAAAATTAGAGATTTTCCCGGGAATAATTTCTGCATCAGTAAATTTCGGTACAACCATGGCCAAAATTCAATTTGATAAGGAGGTTGTTGGTTTACGTGATATCGTTTATAAAATTGAAGAATTTGGTTTTAACGCTTCACTTAACAATAATAATTATAATGCCCAATTAGAATCTTTATCGCGTATAAAAGAAATCCATGAATGGCGTAAATCATTTTATTGGTCTTTAGCATTTGCTATTCCTGTTTTCTTAATTTACATGGTTTTACCTAAATTTTCTTTTGGAAGCAGATTTATTGATTATGAGTTATATCCTGGACTTTATAGTGGTGACTTGATTAGTTTAATACTTACAATTCCTGTACAATTTGGTATCGGTAAAAGATTTTATATCGTCTCTTATAAGGCACTTAAACATAAGACCGCTACGATGGATGTCTTGGTGGTTATAGGTACTTCCGCTGCATTTTTCTTTTCTTGTTTCGTGATGGCATACATCATCTTCATTGATCCAAATTATCCAAGACAACCAGTTTTCTTTGACACATCTACAATGTTAATTACATTTGTTATGCTTGGAAGATATTTAGAGAATTTGGCAAAAGGACAAACATCAACAGCTTTATCCAAATTAATGTCATTAACTCCTTCCATGACCATCATCCTTTTAAGGAACCCCATCACAGGCGAGATCACTGAAAAAAAAATTTCGACAGATTTGATTCAATTGGGAGATGTAGTAAAAATTATTCCAGGGGATAAGATTCCGGCTGATGGGGTAGTTGTTACTGGCGAATCGACCGTAGATGAAAGTATGGTAACGGGTGAAGTTATCCCCGTAAAGAAATTTCCTGGTGAAAATGTAATCGGAGGAACTGTTAATGGATCAGGTAGTTTCGAAATGAAAATTACCAGGGCAGGAAGCGATACCGCGTTAGCACAAATTGTCAAGTTGGTTGAAGAGGCGCAAACAACAAAAGCTCCAATACAAGAATTTGCCGATAAAGTGGCGGGATATTTTGTACCTGCTGTCATCGTTTTTGGTGTCCTTACATTCGTCGTATGGATGATATTATCTACCAAGATACTTACAACATTACCGGATATCTTTAATAATGAATCGAGCAAATTCATGGTTTGTTTAAAATTAAGCATATCAGTTATAGTAGTAGCTTGTCCTTGTGCTCTTGGATTAAGTACACCTACGGCTGTAATGGTTGGAACTGGGGTTGGCGCACAAAATGGTATCCTTATTAAAGGAGGAAAGTCATTGGAATCGGGACAAAAAGTAACAAAGGTAGTCTTTGATAAAACTGGTACTTTAACAAAAGGAAAATTAGATGTCACTCACATTGAATTGATGAGTGATAATTTGGAATTTAGTCCTGAAATATTCTTTGCTCTAGTTGGGGCCGCGGAATCATCGAGTGAACATCCTTATGGCAAAGCTATAGTTGATCATGCCAAACAATTACTTGAAGTTGAGAATATTGATGCGGTTATAAATAATTTTGAAGCTTTGGCTGGATTAGGTGTGAAATGTAATGTGATATTAAATAAATCATATTCTTTAGTACCATCAATGACGAGAAATACTTCAACCACAGGAAAATCTTACAAAGTTTTGGTTGGAAACGTTAAACTTCTTTCACAAAATTATCAGGTCGACATACCACTTGCAGCAACGGAATTCAAAGAACAACAAGAGAGACTTGGTAGAACCGCTGTATTGGTGGCTATTGATAGTAAATTTATTGGAATAATTAGTTTATCCGATACGATTAAACCCGAAGCAAGATTAGCGGTTGGAGCCTTACATCAAATGGGAATTCAAGTTGCCATGGTTACGGGGGATCAACAACTCACCGCGGAAGCCATTGCGTCGCAATGTGGGATAACTGAAGTTCATGCCGGAGTTTCACCAAAAGGAAAAACACTTATAGTCAAATCATTACAACGTGAGGGGGAACGTGGTAATATAGTAGCGATGGTGGGGGATGGGATAAATGATTCACCTGCTTTAGCCGCCGCTGATGTTGGGATTGCCTTATGTTCTGGTACTGATATTGCCATAGAAGCAGCTGATATTGTTTTAATGAGAAATGATATAACGGATGTTGTGGCCGCATTTGATTTATCAAGGACCATCTTCACTAGAATTAAAATGAACTTTATTTGGGCATGTCTTTATAATATACTTGGAATTCCTTTAGCGATGGGTATATTCTTACCCTTAGGATGGTCTTTACATCCTATGATGGCCGGAGCAGCCATGATTTGTAGTAGCGTTAGTGTTGTATGTAGTAGTTTAATGTTACATTGGTGGACTAAACCCGAATGGGTCATTAATTCCAAAGGTGCCGTAGTAAAACTTAAAGCAAGGAGTCGTTTAATGATTTCTCTGAAAAGATTTTGGTTTAGAATATTTAGAATAAACGGTTATAGTAGACTTCACAATGAATGTTGAACTTTCTTGCACGGAATATTTTATGGGAGAATTGTTTGAAGGATTTTTTGTTGGGAATAAACTTTGAAAAAAAAAAAAAAAAAAATCTCCGTGACAGATTATCTTGAACGTAATATCTTAATATTGTAACACAATGTATTATAAATGTAATTAATATTTTTTTTTTTCTCTATTTTAGTAAAAAATTTAAACTTATTTGAAATTATTTTTTGAAATCTTTAATCACCCCATGCAAATGAACTTTTAAGCATTTTATTATCAACTTTTATGGAATTTTTGTGCGATATCTCGGAGGAAAGTATAATCAAGTAAGTTCTTGTTCATTGAGATTTAGTAAAGATTTACTTGTTACATTAACCAGAATTCTTTATTAATTTGAGTTGGGGACTTTAATGTTTACAACAGGTTATTTCAATGAATAACACATATGATTATATAATATAAACAAATAAAGTTATGTGATGATATGAAAATTTTATCATTATATTTTAATTGTAACGAACCTTTTTTTTTTATCTACTGTATTACCTTGTTTTTAAAAAAGATTCTCCTTAAAATGCACAAAAGTGAACTTAACGCCATAGGGGTTAAATTTTCTAGACATAAATATCAAATAGATCAAATAGGAAAAGGTATTCCTAAAAGAAAATGATGAAATTTTCTAAATGGTAAAAATGGGCAAAATGACAGCATGGCAAAACTGTTTAAAAGAGTCATGATCGTTTTATTAATAGATATTTTTTACTTTGAATCAAAAAAAATTTACGCGTTTATCTTTAATTATATGGTATGATTCACACAATAAAATATGAAAAAACTTACATAGTTTGATGATAAAATCTAGAATTGTTCCTAAAAATTAATAAAAGGACATTTGAACGCTGGAAAGAAATACTAAAAAACGTGACCAAACAATCAATCTTACTGCGGTTCGAGCTAAATGGTCGAGCGCGTACTCATAAAATTTCGATAATCCGAATTAAAAGTTTTAATTAAACCAATTCCACAATTCGCAAGTAAAAAAAAAGCGAAAAGATGATTGTTTGGCAACAATGACATTGTATATATATAGAGTATAATAAAAAAAAATCATTACGAAAAACTTTGTAAAATTACTCACTTTCCAAAAAAAAAAAAAGGTACACCGTGAATTTCTTGTTGCATCGAGAATTCATATTTTAAGTTTTAAATCCACAATATTTTTTGAAAATTTAGTATCGTTTTAAAGTCGATACAAGAAAAGTGATGGATCATGGATGATTACTTTACAAATGGAATTTAAGACATGGCTAACTTAACTAAATTCATTTTGTTCGATTTCGAGATGTAATGTTAAAAGCATCGTATCGAACCGCAGTAACATTTTATTAATTTACTAAAATGCCCATAGGCAGAGTTGGGATTAGAACAGCAATTAGTACAATTAATACAATTAGTACAGTTACATTATAATAATTAATATAAAATTATACAAGTACAGTACAAGTACAGTGTCAATTTTATCTAGTACATACAAATTTCCCAAGGTTAAGGTTAGGGTTCGGGTTAGGATTAGGTGAGGGTGTTAGGGTTAGAGTTAAGGTTATGGTTAAGCTTAGATCAGTATGCCAATCATAATCACTCCCTTTTTCTTTGCTGTGAAGACATACTTCTTTGATAAAAAAAACAATAATAAATCCACGTTGCATTATTCTTAATATTTGAATGTCATCCCCACTTCTCCATATGGGATTTCGTAGACTTTTTGGAGAGTGTTATCGTCCAACCAATTGGCTGTAACACCAAAACTTTAATTGGATTATAAAGAAATATGTAGTATGACTTTTTATTCAAATTTAATTGGTACAAAAAGAATAAAAATTTGCCGTACATAAATTATGTACTTCTTTAATAAGTAATTCGTACCAGTTAAACGCGACTTGTTTAATATGCGGATCCGAAATAAAAAATTTCTACTTTATTAACTTGAGATTTTCTTTTTCTCTCTTTGTTCTGCAATAATTTAGTAATATAATTTCCTCCCCTCTTTGTGAAATTAAAACTATTAAGTTATTTTTTCCCACCTTTTTCTTTTTCTTTTTTTTTTTTTTTACAAAGTTGTTTATTTTAAGAACAATGGGAAATTCAAAGTTACATACAAAGTCGTCTACTAGGCTTTCTACGTCATCCACGTCCACATCCAAAAAATCAGTTACCACGACGACCACGAAATCAAAACCTAAAGTAGCTCAAAAATCCTTAACTAATAAAGATTTAAAAGTTACAACGACCGCGAAAACTTTGACGACAAAGAATCTATCCTCTTCAAGGGTATCATCCGTCAAAGCTACACCTACGTCCACCACTAAAACCACCCCAAGAGATACCAAATCTTCGAAAAATTTAAGTTCATCATCTACGATAAAGACGACGAATAAAACTACAAAATCATCTACGTTAACTAAGAAGAAATTAAAAGAAAAGCAACAACAAGGGAATGTTACAACAAACGCTTCATTAGATTTGGAAATTTCAGATGAAGCAAAAGATAGTCCTATATGCTCCGAAATAAATAGTGTCATGAATGAATTAGAAAAATTCCGTACAAGTTTACATGAAATTGGAAGGGTACAAGAAAAGAAGAATGAAATCGTTTCGTCGTCTAAACGTTCAAATCATAATAAAAAAATATCTTCCGGTTCGCTTCAAAAATTACTCGTGGCGGATGGTATGTCGAATCAGGATGAAATAGTTTTGCAAGCTCACAATCAATTATCAGCGGTCAGACAACATATAACTTCAATAATGGATAATTACGAAACTTTGGATGAAAATTTATTAACCGTCATTATGACTTATAATGAAGAAGTTAATATAGCTTTGCAAGAAGCATTGCAAGAAGTACCAAAATTATATTTATCACAATCTCAATCACAACCTCCTTCCCCTTCATTATCTTTTTCCTCTCAATTCTCTTCGCATGATGACACCAATTCTACTCAACAGTTTATTGAGGCTCAAAAAATACAAATACAATTTCTTGAACAAGCTAATTTTAATAATGTCTTTCAATTAACTAATGATATAAAGAAATGTCAATTAAACCTCGAGAAATTTATTAAATCAAACTTTAAAATGTATAATTTGAATTTACTTGAATCAAAAATCCTTTTACGTAAATATGACATAAGAATTAATTTAGATGATTTGTATGAGAAAAATGAAAAATATTCTAAAGTTTTAATATGTCATTCATTACAAAGACTATTATTAGAGACAGTTTTGGAAAATTCCGATATTTATTTTACGGGTTCATTACAAAATTTTCAACCTCAAAATTTATCCTCCATTACAAATGATTTCGATGAGGAGAGTTACGGTCATAATAATCCCTCTCTCTTTCAAAAAGTAACTAAAATCAATCCTGAAGTTTATGCGGTTTTGGGTTCAAATTGTTTCGATGGATTTGAACATCCTTTCATCGAATTTGTAGGAGAAAAATTGGTTGAAATAATTGAAAAATACTTTGAGGTTAAACATGATTCAATTACGGGAAACAAACTTAATTTGGTCAATTTAGCTAATGAATTAGTTTATGATATTATAAATGTTTTTTATTTTAGAATGCAAGCACAAGAGCCTACTGCTCAATATCAATGGATTGAAAACGAAAAGTCATTGGATCCGCATCTCATGTCCATTGTAAATTATAGTACTTATTGTAATAATAATTTTTCTTTACCGGGTGATTATGAAAATTGTGAAAATAAACTTTGCGAAGAGGAATTCGATGTGGTGGGAGTTTGTTCCTTTCCAGCGATAGGTAAAAGATTAAAAGGTCAAGAAAAATTAGAAATTTACACCAAGGCAAAAGTTTTACCTTATTCTCAACTAAATCATGAAATAAAGTAGCAAATAATCATTCTCTTTTTTTTATTTCAACTATGGAAGTTTATTTATTTATTTACAAATTTTGTAAAAAAAAAAAATAATTTATTTTTTTTCTTATATCTAATAAAATAGACAAAATGATTGTAAAATTTTTTTATTAATATAATAAATATATAACCTATAAAAGTAATAATTAATAAAATAATTTTTTTAATATTATTGGGAAATTATGTAAATTTCAGTTGTTAAAAAATTTATTAGTCTAGAAAACTGGACCTAAAAACTTAAAGATTATATGCTAATCACAAGGGCAAGATAATTCAAAGATAGGTATATATAAGTTTTTACATCACTTATTATGATATAATGTTTATTAGCAATTTTTTTTAGAAGCCGAAGGTAGTAGGAGTAAATCAAGATGATGTGGAATTGCACGAACATGCTCAAAAATCAATTCGTAGTTAATAGGCTTTTTATCAATTTTATTCATGTAAATTAATTTTTTGTGCGCTCAGTTAATAAAAATTACTTTTTTAATATGTAAAGAATAAGGTCTGATTTGATTTTGATTTAATTGTAAGATCGAAAAGCGTAATGACAATATATTACAAGGATATAAAATAGGACAGTAAAAATAAAAACGAAAATGTAAATAAATCATCACATTTATTTATAAGGGATGATCATTGTAATGACAAAATGTATATACCTGAACTTTGGAGGGTGATGGGAACGGATTTTGTTATTTTTAGTAAAATTCAGGCGCGTTTCTTCTTCAATAAGCATTTTTATCAAATATTCATTAAAAAAAAGATTTCTGCTCATAAATGCACAATTGTTTTCATTATCATTATGAATTTTTTTACGTTTGCATTTTTTTTTTTTTGGAATTTATATAACAATGGCGACGTTATGTATTTTATTAAGATGATCTATACTTTGTGATACAATATCAGGTAAATTTTGAAATATGGTGTTGGCCGTTACTATTTTTTTTTTTCACTGTTGTGGTTTAGTCTAGTCGAAAATTTTTTATTTAAAATATTTTTTTGAATTTTAAAAATGTCAACATACGAAGAAGCAGAAGAAAGGTACAAAGAAGCGAAGAAGATAATGAAGATGTGAGAAGAGAAGTTAGAGAAGTGAGAAGTGGGAAAATACAGAGTGAAGTTGAACGAGTTGGAAGATAGATTGAAAGAAAAAAACCTGAATGAAGAAATGAAGAAGAACTTAGAAGAGCGGAAATATAGGTTGTTGGAAGAAAAGAAAATTTGGAAAAAGACAAAGAATATTGGATGGAGCGGGTGAAGAAGTGGGGAAAGGTGTTGAGAGAATTCTGTGAAGGGAAAGGTAATGAGCAAATTGCATAAAAAAAAACTGATTTGCACTTTTTCTTTGGCTTATCTTTCTTTTTCTATCATTGTTCTCATTGGATTTCATGGGAAAAAGGATCATTGAAATGCAAACTTAAAGATGACTAAGAAGATGCATATATTAAAAAAATAAAAGGTTTTCAGTTTTCACCTAGTAAAGCTGCAAAGCTATTAAACTAAAGAAAAATTCAATTAGAAGACTCTAATTATGCATTTTACAATCATAGACCTGCTGATGCTTCAGGAAACCCTGTAACATTGTAACATGAAAATATTATAAAATTATATAATGATTTAAGATATATAAATCCAACTGCTTATGATTATAATTTTACATTGAAAATCACCTATGAAATGTCAGAAATTACTTTTTTCTCTGAAGATGAAAGAAGAGAAAGTTTTAAAAATTGTTTTTATAAGACATATAAAATAGTATTAAATCAATACACTTTAATAATAATATTACTACAGCTATATTTAGAGGAAATGAAAAATATATGTTAAGCAATTTGGAAGTCAAACCAAAAATAGGAACTGGTAATTGTTATCCTATTAACCGGACATTAGTTTATTATGCAAAACATATAGCAAATGAATTTTCAACTGATACTAAAAGTACCATTCATCTACCTTGCATATTACTATATTTAGTAAATTAGCATCAAAAATTTCCATATTAATCATTTTAATTCACTTTTATGAAATAACAATGGTTATTTTTGAAAAATAAACAAAACATATTGATTTACAGGTCTATACATTAGCATGGCTGGTGCAATTCAAAATAAATTTCTTTGTGATTTATTATTATCTGCTCTTCTACTTTTATTTACATAATATTATCAGGAATACATGTTATCAGTGACAAAATTTTTGTTGCATACAAAAAAGCATTAGATAATTTTAGAGAATACTACAAAAATCCTTTTTATGATAAACCATCCCAACTTTTATTTCTATATATCAGATCATGTAAACATTTAGATATAAATTTAAAAATTAATTTTTAATATATCAAGCAATTGCATGAAGAAAAATTATTATTTTTAATTGAACTTAAAAATAAAGATCTTTTAAGTTAATTAATTGTTAAATTTACTAAAAATATAGAAACAATGCACATCTTGTTTGTGTAAATCTAGATATAATACCAAAGCTGTTTGAAATTAAGAAAGTTTCAGATAGTTAGTTTATGATAGTAATGGAGTATCTAGATTATTACGAAGCAATCTCTAAGAAACCTTCAGCATAAATTCAATAGCAAATATGCATAGCTATATAGAAAATGCATCAAGAGAATTATGTTTATGATAATTTTGTCATTCAAATATCTTTACCAAAATTATAAATAGTAATACTAAAGTTGTCTTTATAGATTATGATTGTGCAGATGGAAATAAAAAAGTAACTTATCCTCCATTTTTGAACCTTAAAATTTCTTAACATCATGATGTTAGTCTAGGTAGACACATTTTAAAAGAACATAATGAATTTATGGTAAATAAATACAAAAATTAATGGTTGATTAATTTATTTAAAATGTTTTTTAATGATATTCTCATGAAATTAAAATATTTTTAAATTAGAGATGTAATTAGATTTTTTTTTATATCATTAGAATATTTTAATGATATAACAAATAAATATATATCAGTCAGTGAAGCAAATATATTATTCTTATATAATTACGTGCTATTTTCTTATACAATCAAAATTATGCAACAATATACATCCCTTTTTATGTATCTTACTTAGACCATCAGATGCTATTTTCTTATATAATAAGATATGCATCTTTTTTAACAAAAAAATTTCAAAACTCGTGAAGTGATATTTTACTAAAAATGTATTTAATCACTTTATATTTTTTATTTTAATTTTTTTTTATTCAAACAAAACTTTATCACTTTTATATTTTTTTGTTTTAATTTAAATAGAAACTTGTGTTATTACTTTATATTTTGTTTTAAATTTTTATGACTTTATTTTAAATTCATATATTTTATAATAAAAAAATCTTATTTTTAAATTTTATTATAAAAGGGTTTGAAAATTTAATTCAATATAATAATAATAATACTGTAAATATACCTTTTGATCATATTGCTAAATGGTATATTATAAATCATTTATTATTAAAAAATATTTGCTTAAAATATCAAATGCGAAGAGAAATTGAAAAATTAATAAAGCAGATATTATTAATATAAGTTGAGTAAAAGGTGCTATTGATTTTATTGAATAGAATACAAAAAAAGGTGATACAAAATCAATAAATAGAATTGATGATATTATTAAATTAACTTTAAAAGGAGAAGAATATGTTAAACAAATAGAGACAAAAGAAAAAAAGGATAAATTATGTTAGTATTAGATTATGTTTTATTCAAAAGAAGGAAATTGTAAATGTAAATATAAAGGAATTGTAATTGTAAAGAAGCATATACAAATTATTCTCTTTAAATAATTTAAAAAATTATCACGATATACATTTGTGCAAAGTTTGTGTAATTTCTAAATTAAGACTTTCCTAGTTAAATAAAGAAAAACTCCTTAAAATTAAAATTGTTAGGTCATATCTACTAATAAACATTCTTATATCACACAATCCAAGTGTTTCAAGGTTGAATTTATTACAACAAGTTAGAGATCATATTATAGTTGATCATAGATTAGATTATCATATAGCCAATTCTGTTAAATCAAAATTATTAATATCCTTTAATGAAGCAGAAGAAAATAAATTAAAGGAAACATTAAAAAATCAATGTCAAATATATAATAATAATAAACTTAGATCTTATTTAATACGTGATGATTGAAAATTAGAAGAAAATTTAGGTCTGTAAACTATATTACATTATTTAGTTATAGAAGTTTTAAAACTAAAAGGATATATTTTATATTATTAACAACCTGATACTTTACAATTTAAAGAGGAAAAACAATTTTATTAACTTACTTTATCTAATAAATTCTGACTAAGAAATGGTAAAAATTTTGATTAAAATTGTATTAAAATAGATTTAAAATATAATTTAAATAATAATAAGGCTCTAGTATTAGTATTTATTACTAAAAATAATAATAATTCTGAAACACTACTTGTTTTTGATAAGAAAATTATTGAAAATTTAAAAGAATTAGAATATTTGTTAATATTTCGCTAAAAATAAAAAAAATTAGTATTAAACAAGTAAATTAAAGAAACAATTTAATAAATTAAAATATGTATTTATTTAATAAGCAAATTAAAGAAGCAATTTAATAAATTAAAAATATATAATAATAATAAATATATTTATTTATTATTTTAGAAATAAGTAATAAAGAAAACTAATAAACAATAAAATTATCAATAGTAGCGATAAAAATGAATATTCTATATAATCAAGATAATTGTAAACATTGTCTCTAAATTCATTTTCATTTATCTTCTACATATTGGAGTTTCTGACTTTAGGATTTTCTCTAAGTCTTACAGGTATCCGTTATACTTAAATCAACTTGGCAATTTATCACATCTTAGAATTTAAGATATATTTAATTGAACTTGTAATGATAAACTTAATAGTAAGTTAGTATAGTATATCACAACAATCCTAAATAAAGGACAACATTGAAGGAAAATGTAGTTTGTATGGATTT